AACTGAAAGATGTTTCAAAATGAATTTTAAGACGCAAAAAGAAAAAGGAACACCCAACATCACACAACTGAAACACCATTCTTCAAGAGAGAGAACAACATACTCTCTGTTGGTGGCTTGCTCAGAATTTCACTCAACTCGAGCTAATGTTTAGCTCGGAGAAAAGGATTATGAGGATAGTAAGAGAGGTTTCCAAGAAACGGAGGAATGGTCCTGATCTGAGCAAGGCAAATAATGAGGTCTGCTGGCAAATGAAACAGAGAGCCTAACATGAAGCTGTAAATGAGCAGAGAGATGAATACGCTGTCAGAAGCTGCTTCGTGGAAAGACTTAACAAAAGAGTTCAATGAATGCACATCTTGCACCCAGAGAAGGTAGGAGGGAACAGCGCAGATTCATAGCAGTAGGTATTCATCACCAAAACTCGCTCTTTTGAATGCTGTTGGGTTAAATTAGTACAAAGTAAATGAGTATCTTTACATTTCAACAACAATTTATGTGTAAGCTCACAGAGGAGAGGAGATTTGTGGTTTCTGTTTTGTCTAAAGCCTAAAGTATGCTGATAGATGAATGCACAGCAGGCATTGCTTTCATTCTCTCCATTGTTGTTACCCTGGGAAGGAGTAGAGTGCCTTGTCCCACCATCCCAAGTGGACAAACTGTGCTAAATGGTGTAAGAGTTAATCCTGGTAAGTCCTGAGCAGACCATTTTATTTAACTGAACATGGAATAAACATGAATTCAATGTCTCAAACATGTTAACAGGGAACAAATGATTGTATACGATGGCCACGACTGCCTGCCGGCATTAATGATATAACTCATTCTCCATGCCAGCATTAATGATGTAACTCACTCTCCATGCCTGGGTGGAACAAAAAGTTGTCCTCAATGACAAGGAATGAGGCCCTTAAATGCCCCGTTCATCTGCTTAGTGTTTGCAGAGCTCTCTAGCACATGGATGGTGGGTGGGACCAAGGTTGACAGGAGCACAGGCTGTTGTGCTGTGTTCTCACTTGTGGTCACTGAAGGGATGGCTGACTGGGGCTTGAGCAAAGAAGGCAGCAAACAATTGTGGGTGGTCTGACAGCCATAGTCTCACAGCCCATTTAGCTGTCCCTGAGCACTGGAAGCTGGGTGGGCAGTATCTGGTGCTACTACAACTGCTGCTGATGGTAATGGCTCCCCCCAGCAACAGCTGTCTCTTGCTCCACCTGTCTGATCCCTTGGCAGGCAGCAGACCTGCCTGCTCATGTTCTCTTACCAGCTGTGATACCTGGCTGGATCTTCCCCTGTTCCTGCCTTTCATCCTTAGGGTTGCAGATCTTCATTTTTTTTGCCTTTGCTGCTCAGAAGCGTGAAGGATCTTTCCAGTGGCTGTGGCATTGGAGGCATGTAAATAAAAGGGATGCCGTCAGCCCATGGTTTTGAACGAGAACATGATCATTTTCTTCCAGAGCCACAGCACTGGTTTTAATGGATTCATTAAGAATGTGGCTTCTAAAACCAGTTTGTTCTCTCACTAGGCAGCAAATGGAGCAGTGGCTGCTGTGTTGTGGATGAGACCCTCTGGCAGGAGGAGACACAGCATCCTGCTGTGGCGACCCATCTGGCATCAGCACTGAGAAGTGGCGTGTGGCAAAGCTGGGTTGATGTAGGCTCTGGAAGTCCTATATGTGGGGAGCTGAAAGGAAGAGCTCATGACAAACAGGTGAGGGACACCCCAGTACCAAAATTGCTTCAAATCTGCCAGAAAGACTGGGGATAGAATGTATGTCAAATGAGGAACCTGCAGCATCTTCGATAAAAGCCTGCAACAGTGTCTGGCATGGCAGCGAAAGAACACGTGTTGTTTGGGGCAAATAGGTGTATTTTGGGATCATTCCATTACTCAAAGATGTCTATGACATCAGACTGGCATCCCATCTGTGTTTAGTTTATCTGCATGAGCATTTTGACATGGGTGAAGGAAGAGGTGAAGAGGTGAACTGGATCAAATAGCTGAGAGCAACACCACCAGTGCCTGACGAGTTTCTTGCTGGCATTTACCTAGTCTGGCAGAATTAGGCATGTATCTTAGGGTCAGTTTGGGAACAACGTGCTTATACAGGGCCCTGTCTTAGAAAGCAGTAAAAGGAAAAGTTTTGCTGTGACTGTTGACGTGCTGGTTGGGATGTGGTTTTGAGGAAGAACATTTGTGAGGATAGGTGCGGAACCCAGTCCCACTTTCATTTAGACCAGTACAAACCCCCTTCTGCCCTATGAATGTTATCATGCTGTGAGTGAATAATCCTTAGTGTTGTAAATAGGTCCTTTACACTGCTGTTGGATTACATAAACACTGACGAATGATACTTGACCAATATAATGGCCAAACTGGCAAAAAAATTGACCACCACAGATCAGGTGACAGGGAATCCGTGGTGATAAGAGTGTTCAGTGGTCTCGTGGACCTGTCCTTGTGTGCTGCAAGATTACCCTGATTTTTCACAATTTCTTGTCAGGCTTTATATGAACCTTGTGCATTAGCTGAATCCCACCTGCCTCAAACTGTTCTTTGGCATCTTTTTCAGATGTTGTGGTTGCACCACCTACCACATAAATGAGAGCTAGTTTTCTACAGACAAATGGTGCAATGCCTTTTATTCCTACTGTGACTAGTGATTTAAGTGCAGGGAAGCCATCGTTCTGCTACAATAAATTCTACAAGAGCTAAATACTAATGGTAACCTCTGGAGATAAAATTAAGCATCCTTAATGCGTAATGCACTGAGTTTGAAGTTTTTAAAGAGCAGACCGCACTACATAATGACATCTTTGTTTGCAAACCATGAGGAAATTTCGAATATAAAGAGCACAAAATATGGCACTATAAAACAAAATTGCCAAATCGCCTTACCCAAGGAAGACTGAGCACTACTGTCAATTAAGAGAGAGCAAAAATGCAGCGTTATCTACGGGCCTATCAAAAAAATATCTCTGCTCCAGCTAAAAATCTTACGATCCGCTTCCCCTGTGATTCCAGTGCCAGTATGGGCGAAGTCTGTGGAAATGTCGGTACGGCAGCTTGCACCTGTCCGGAGCGAGCATCGCTGCAGAGAGCAGGCGCTGCTAGCAACGAGGCAGCGGGGCTGCGACAGGTAGGTTGGAGTGAGGGTGGTTGGCTTCTCTCTTAGCTGGCGCCTAACCAACCCCTGCCTCAGCCTCGACGGCTCTTCCCGGACAGCCCTGGCGGCTCCCGGCCTGTTCCGGGGGAGGCCTGCGGGAGCCTCCGTGGCGCGTT